TGTAAGGGAACACCACCCCAAGAAAAAGAAAAAGTCTGCAGCGGTGGGGGGGGGGAGCAGGAGACAGAGCTTCTAATAATCTGTTAGTTGCTTTTAATAACCTCAAAGCGAAGACGACTTTTTTTAAAACCCCAGAGGGTCTATTTTTTGATCTCTTGCAATAGAGAGCGAGAGCATGCGTAAAAGAGAGGTGGTACAAGACAGGATTGGAGAGTACCAAGACTGCATCTTAGGTGGCAGGACCAAAAATAACTGCATCATCACACCCAAGCTAACGTGGGCACAACCCACTAAGCTGGCGTCACAGCACAATTGGTGAAATGGGACGGGAGGGGAGAAGAGAAAGCGAAGAGCCAACTTTGGGTTATGGGAGGGAGGCAGGAACACTGGAACGGGAGGTTCAGCCAGAATCTGAATTTTGCCTGCAACTGTCTCCGGAATAGCAACTTCTCTGGGCTAATTTCAAATACTGCTATACCTATCTAAAAAACAAACAAACTACCTTTTCAAGATGATTTGCAATATATTTGAAAAAATTATCACTGTGCCTTCTGGAAAAATCCCCAAACTGCAGATGGCAATTCCTAAGAGCCACACGATTCACTGGGAGGGGATGCTTGGGAATCACAGCTATGATCACACATTCCTAAGCCAGGGTTTAACTATGATTTATTGACTGAAACAAAACTGACTTAGATTCATAAAACCTACAAAGGCAAAATCAAAACAACACATTATGCCGTTGTGTGTTGTGGGAACCCTGCTTTTGTACACGAAGGGTGTCCAGCTTTGCTAATGAGATTCCCAGATACTGCTGGTAAAGACTTCTGTTGGAAAACCCTGGAGATGAGTGACCCCAATCTTTTCCTCTATGTCAGCCACTACAGTGTCAGGGGTTGGTAGTCTGGTACCTGAAAAAGTACCAGAGCATTGTGGGGAGTCCTCCTACTAATATCTGTGGTACCTCCCAATTATATGTTATTTATATATATAGTCCATTTTTGCAAGACCAGCAAATCCTGCAAGATTTTGATTTTTCTGACTATATTCTCAAAAAGTCCATAAAATGGCTATCATGGGGGATATAACTAAATTACCAGAAAGCTACCAGCCACCCTCTCCACCCCCACCCAATGTTTCCTATTATCCCCACCTCCTGTGCCTTTGTTTGGGGCATGTGGGTGCCCTTTCAGAACATAGTTCTGCATTTTTTCATCATTTTCTTTTCTAAGAAAGCTTCTAGGGCTAGAGGCATTCTTGGAAATAAAAATCATGCCAGAAACGGCTGTTTGCCCGCTCTAGCCCACCCCAAGGTGACTGAAAACACACCCACTTCAACTGTTGTCTGAAAACTGTTCAGATATCTGAAGACAGTTTGCTATTTCTTCTCTTGCCTGATGCGCATACCCACCAACCACTGGATGTCCCCATAGGAAGAAGCACCAATTTGCCATGATCAAGAAACAGGCTGTTTTGATTTTAGATGCATAGTTTCTCCACGCGTCCACTGTATTTTATAAAGACCATAAGCTGATTTCAGGAGTCTGTTTGAAAAACCCAAAAGAAAGTTGAATCAAGGAATAAAATGGGGCCTTTTGCCTAACTTTCTGCTTTAATTGGTAGCAGTTAATTGTCAAGCTTTATCCACAACATCCGTACAGACCAAAAGAAGAGAGCGAAGGATGTGGAGAGGTCCAGAGCTCAAGGAGGCCACTTCTGCACAACAGTGGTGGGATTTCCTATAACAAAGAAAGAGGAGGAGGATCAGAAAATCTTTCAGCCAGGTTTAGTATGGCTGCAAGTTGACCCTGGCTATTTGCTTTCTGGGTTTGGAACAGGAACCAGACAAAAAGTCATTTTACTGCTACTCAGGTCCTCCCCCTCACCCCACAACAGGCTGAAGCCATGTAATTCCAACTTCACCATAGTGACAGGCTCAGTGGTAAAACACCAGTTCCACCTCCAGGAGGTCCCATGTTTAATCTCTATTAGGACTGGGGGAAAAAACCCTGGAGGGCCTCTGCCAATCAAGACAAGTCAGATACAGACGAGATTTCCAACTTAGGTTTTTGATTTTGTTTTGGCAACAGGAGTGAATTCATTCCTAGCCCAAGAGGACGATGCAATTCTTTTAGGAACACTGCTAGAAGTCATGCAGCTTGGTGGAGGGACTCTGCATAGTGTGCAGAAAATTATCCCTTTCCAAGTTCACTCTCTCAGAACTGCAACCTTCCCAAGGATTAAATAAGAGCAGATGGGAAAGATCTTCCTCTGCTTCTCAGAGTAGGCAGCATTGGGTGAGATGGAGTAGTAGCTTGATTAACTATAAGACAGCCTCAACAGCAGTGCTTCTCAACCTTGGCAGCTTTCAGATGGGTGGACTCCAACTCCCAGAATTCCCTAGCCAGCCATGCTGGGAGTTGGAGTCCACCCATCTGAAAGCTGCCAAGGTTGAGAAGCACTGCTCAAAAGACTTCAAGATAGTGGCAGAAGATCTCTTTTGCATGCAGGAGGCTTCCTTCAAGCCTCAACAGCTGCAGGTGCCCACAGAAAGGTTCTTCTCTACTTGGGAACCTGAGAGCTGCCATCAGACAGAACAACCAACATGGGACAAGATTGACAACGTCCCGATCTGCTGTCAGAATCTTTCTCAGAGCACCAGTAGTTTACCAGTGCTGGCCTGATATGCTGCATTAAGCCCTAATGTGGTTCGCTTGATTTAGTGTCTGATACGGACACCACTACTGGCTAGGGCTACATGAAGATCTGCACACAGTTTGGTCTACGTATTTTTACAAACACTTTTCCTTACTGTGTGGCTGTTTTGTGCTTCTTTCCCAACATGGACATTACGCCTTTATTCAGAGGCGTAATTTATTATGACACTAAAAATCCTTTATTCAGAGGCCTGCATTGCAAATACTGAAATCAAAGTGCATTCTGGTTCGCGCTGATTCAGAAAGTGCACGTTCAGTAAGTTCTTATCAGAATGAGGACATTCCCCATGGCAGGTCAATGCAGGATTTTTTATCTATCCCGCTGCACCACCTAGTGGCAGATAGATGTCCCAAGCACACCCTCCAATGCTTCATCTCCCCAGAGATGCAGAGTGGGCGCTTGGTCAATCAGACTGTCTGGCTTGGCTTGTCAGGAAACCCAGTCCCTGGAGTACATGCATATGCTTAAAAGCTACCTAAACATATCCTATGTCTAAGCCATAGCATCTGCTTAAGTCTCTAGGGCAGTGTTTCTCTACCTCAGCAACTCTGGCTGGGGAATTCTGGGAGGTGAAGTCCACATATCTTAAAGTTGAGAGGTTGAGAAACAGTGCTCTAGAGATAACCACTTGTCTACCTTGAGGGCATCTGCTTAATTTCCTTCTAATACAGCTTTCCCTTGACCAGGCACCCTCTAGAGCAGTGTTTCTCGACCTCTGCAACTTTAAGATGAGTGGACTTCAACTCCCAGAATTCCTCAGCCATCTTAAAGTCACAGAGGTCTAGAAACACTGCTCTAGAAGCACTGGACTAGAGCTCCCAGGATGTCCAGGCAGCACAGCTGTTGGCCACGCTGCCTCTGAATCCTGGCAGTTGCAATCCCACCTGTCTGGAAGAAGCCAGGCTGGAGAAGGATGAAACAATACAAAAAAGGAGCGAAAACGTAGCTGCTCCTCCATGCCGAGAGGAGGCCACACTGGGTGATAACAGGTGGCTTTTTTAGCATTCTCTTTTCAGACAGAAAGCAGTCTGCCACTCAAAGCCATAATTGCTGCATTCACATAATAGGCTTTGCCCAAACACATAAATGAGATTAGGGCTTAGCATGATGGCCTAGACATGCTAAGGCTGGGTTTCCTACCTCCCACCCCGAAAGCTAGCCTAAATCCTGGTGATTTCATGGACAAGCCTGTGCAATTTTATTGGCCCCTTTACAGCACTGCCTTCGCCTGACTTGTTTTAAATTTTGCAGTCTAGCTAACAGCCCTCGTACTCCTTAGCAGTCCCCTATCCAAGTATCAAGCCAGGCCATGACCTTACCAGGTCCCGCTACCTGTGGAGAGTGCCCCAATATCCTGAATCCCAAATTCATCCAAGCTTATTGTGGCCCAGTCAAGCAAGTTGTGTGAACTCAGCCAGTGACTCTCTTTCAACTGGAGACTGACAAGGCTTCAGTGTGGGATCCTGGGTGTCTGCCATGGACACTCCCCTTATAGCAGCTGTTTTATTCCACTGTTGAGCCGAAGAAAGACTCTCTAATGGATCATGGTGCAGAGGAGGAATTGGGGAAGAAGTGGGGAAACAACTAAATGCTCAGCAAGTCCAGATCAAACCGTAACAAAAGGGCTGGCGCTTCCTCTCTCTCAAGCAGCTGCTCTCCTGAGCGTGTTCTTTCTTAATGAAAAAGCAATAAAACATTTGCACTAAGCATAATAAGTTATTAAGTTTATATACTGCCCAACTCAAAACGACTCTGGGAGTCATAGCGTGCTTCCGACTGCATGCTCTGGCTTCGAAAATACTGTTCCTCACTACCCCTCTAAATTGATATCGTTGTTCTTAGCATTTGCCTTGCGTGGTTGCAGGATCCGCCTCTTTCTGCCCCGTGCTTGCCTAGTTCTTTCAGCAAAGCTACCAATGCATAATGCAATGCAGTCTTTTTTAATCAGTCAGACTGAGGGCAGAGCCTGATGCGATTAGGGCTGATAGGGAAGGGTTTGACCAAGGTCACCCAGAGAGCTTCCATGGCTGAACAAGGACCAGAACCTGGACCTCCCTGCTCCTAGTCCAGCACCATACTGTTTCTTGGGCTGAGAGGAAGGGACTGGCCCAGAACGCCCCGGGGGCTTCTGAGGCTGAGCGGGGACTTGAACTTGGGTCTCCCCACTGCTGGTTCAACACTTCCCCCACTACTCCTGATTGGCTCTGGGGTTGAGGGGGACGGACTGGCCCAAAGTCAGTCAATGACCTTCTGTGACTGAGGAGGGACCAGAACCTGGGTCTCCCGTTTCCAAGACAAGCACCTTCCCCACTACACCATGCTGCCTCTCTTTACCAACATTCTAGATTTGCTCTCTAAAAATCACTTTTGAAGAATCTCATCTCCTGCACTCAGGTTTTTAACAGAGCTCTATACCAGTACGCTCCCCCTGCCTGGTCTCTGAGCTCTCCTGCCAATTCGTTTCTCTACACCAAGGAACTTTCAGCAGCAGAGAGTCTGTTCAGAAAGGATTCCAAAATCATAATCTAGCAAGAACCATAATTTTAAAGATAAAAGCTAACTGCACACCTCTTGTGTGAGGTGGCTTGCCTGCTTATCAATTTGGAAGCCCTCCAAACCATTGCTTCCAATTCTGATTTCTCAAGTACTTGATGGTTTCCTATGCCAGGCATGAGAATTAAATGATCCGCATAATTCAAGTCCATTATTTCAAAAGCTGATATCAGTAATCCTTACACGTAGGTTACTATTGTTACTGTGGGATGAAACCAGATGTCAAATGCCTACTGGCTTTGAGTTTACAGCTCAACTTTCAGTTTACATGCTTAGCCAAAAGGCTTCATGTCACTCATCAAAGGGATATACAGTGGTACCTCTACTTACGAACTTAATCCGTTCCGTGACTCTGATTGCAAGTCAAGTTGCTCGCAAGTCGAGGTAAATTTTCCC